GCCATATATCTTTTGCTATAGTCTTTTTCTACCAGGGCCTGATGAATCTGGGAAAGGCAGCCAGCTCTGATTGCACCCTATCAGAAGAACTATACTGGCTTCACTCTGTCTGCTGGTAAAACCTCCTGAACAGTAGACAAACATTTCTTAGACTGAAGTGTATGATCCAAGCAGCGCTAGAAAATGAACCTCTCGGGGAAAAAGAATATGATTCTTCAATATTCTTTCCATTTTTCACCAGCATTAAAAATCAGTTGACAGAAGGGAAAAGATGGGAGTTAGGATATTGATAAATTTCCTTCATTTTTTTCACTAGTTTTGCAACATTCATTCTGGGAGCATGACAGTTAAATCATACTGTCTGATGAACCTGAACAGGTGGTGAGTTTACCTTCATAAAAATCCTTCTGTTAAAAGAAAACTTATTTACCTATTTACTCAATGCCTAACGAAGTTTCTGAGGAGGTATGCATTAGCATAACTATCTTTCTAAAAGGTTGGTGTTTTGAATCAGCAGAAGTGTCATCTGAGGAAATTGATATAGTAAGAAAGAATGTACTAGTATTTAAGGTTTGGAGAGGCTGGGGAAAAAGAGGACTCTTGCACCTTTGCGTTCAGTGACTAGACAGAGGACTCATTTGCGTTCAGAGACTAACCACAATCCAGTATGCCTGTGCCTGTACGCAGCAGAATAATTCACTATTGATATTAAACTTTTGTACCTTGTACCTCTGAAAACTAAGCTCTGCTTCAAAAGGTCAGCAGACCCTAACCACAATCCAGTATGCCTGTACCTCCACTGCAGCAGAATAATTCACTATTGATATTAAACTTTTGTACCTCTGAATTCTGAAAACTAAGCTCTGCTTCAAAAGGTCAGCAGAAATGCACTGTCTTGCAATTCAGGCCTTTGGATGTTATCCAGAGGCACTAGCTTTATAACATGGTAAATAATATCTTAGCATACTGCATTGACCTGTGTTACTTTTGTATGTTTTCCTAGCTCGTGCTTAATGAATTGCCTTTATCTTGCCCATCTGTTCTCCTTTTTGTTCAGTTATCAAGTACCATTTACCAAGAGAGTAGATAATAAAGAAAGGCCCATTCAGTACTTTTTAAATAAGCTGGACTTCCAGAGATGTGAAAGAGAGGTATAACCTTCCGTCAGATTTCATAGGTCTGAACTAAGTAATACAGGTGTTTGAGTAGCTGATCCACTGAACATAGAAAACTGCTACTTTCTTCCTGGTTTGATCTTGTCCACTGAATAATGAAATGAAAACAAGAAAGAATTTAGCTACGGTTTTCTTTAAAACACATTCTTGCTAACAATACTTGTATTGCTTATGCTGAATATATTTTCTTTGCACTGAATTTATTATGGGTAACATAAAAATGCATAACTATTATATGAATTTAAACAGAGGACTACAAATTTTTTCTTGTTTTTATGAATGGTATTATCATCATCATGTCTAATACCTCATGCATTTATAAAATAAATTATTTCATTTTTTGAAATGCGTAACATGACATATTAAATCTAAACACTCGTGATTTAGAAATAATCAAGAACATCAAACTGGATACTAAAGGTATGAATTTCTTTGATTTTACCAGAGTAAGGCTCTTGTATATACCATTACTGGCAATGCTGGCTGTAGTAATTTGGCCAGCTTGAGTCACTCAGACCATTCCTAGGGTCCTTTTGCACAGCAGTCCTAGGAGGATGTGATCAGCACCTTGCTCATGCACATCTCCTACAGAAATTAGCATAACAAAGGACAAAATAAAATGTTCTGATTTTTTTCCCCCCTCTTAGAAGTCAGTTCTGTCAAACATATCTTCATCACCACGTGTTTTTCCCAGGGTCTGATTCAAAATCCAAACAAGAGCATGGGAATTTTTCAGAGGAATTTTTTTTCAGACCTTTATTCCATTTGTTGCCTAATTCTTTTCTCTCTTTAGCTGTGCCCTACTTTAGCACTAAACAAGCTATGAGTTAGGTAGGCCAAGTCAGACATCTATCATGTATGTAAGAGTTCTGGTTAGGCATATTCTTTCCTAATAGGAAAGAGAAGTACTGTTTAAAGCTAGTGGAAGAATGATGGAACAGTACTTATTGAACAATAAGAGATACATACAATTATGATAGATCCAATTAGGAATGCATGAACGGTGAGGCTTAACACTTTCTTTTCCATATCAGTAGCTTGACCTAGTTTCTACCTATTATATGAATTTAAACAGAGGACTACAAATTTTTTCTTGTTTTTATGAATGGTATTATCATCATCATGTCTAATACCTCATGCATTTATAAAATAAATTATTTCATTTTTTGAAATGCGTAACATGACATATTAAATCTAAACACTCGTGATTTAGAAATAATCAAGAACATCAAACTGGATACTAAAGGTATGAATTTCTTTGATTTTACCAGAGTAAGGCTCTTGTATATACCATTACTGGCAATGCTGGCTGTAGTAATTTGGCCAGCTTGAGTCACTCAGACCATTCCTAGGGTCCTTTTGCACAGCAGTCCTAGGAGGATGTGATCAGCACCTTGCTCATGCACATCTCCTACAGAAATTAGCATAACAAAGGACAAAATAAAATGTTCTGATTTTTTTCCCCCCTCTTAGAAGTCAGTTCTGTCAAACATATCTTCATCACCACGTGTTTTTCCCAGGGTCTGATTCAAAATCCAAACAAGAGCATGGGAATTTTTCAGAGGAATTTTTTTTCAGACCTTTATTCCATTTGTTGCCTAATTCTTTTCTCTCTTTAGCTGTGCCCTACTTTAGCACTAAACAAGCTATGAGTTAGGTAGGCCAAGTCAGACATCTATCATGTATGTAAGAGTTCTGGTTAGGCATATTCTTTCCTAATAGGAAAGAGAAGTACTGTTTAAAGCTAGTGGAAGAATGATGGAACAGTACTTATTGAACAATAAGAGATACATACAATTATGATAGATCCAATTAGGAATGCATGAACGGTGAGGCTTAACACTTTCTTTTCCATATCAGTAGCTTGACCTAGTTTCTGCAGGGTATAGCAAAACCAATATTTGTTACACTTATAGTTGTCATAAATGTTACAATACAATGAAATGTGGAGAAGACAACAAAATACACTTAAACCTTTCTTAAACCCTAACCTTACCAAAACATCAGTATATCCTAGAAGTTATTAAAAATTGATTAGGCTTATGATCTGACTCTTTCAAGTACGAGGCTTCCTATTCAGTTGAGGAAAAAAGGGTCTGCAGGAGGGAAGGTTCCTTGGAGAGGCAGAATGCCTATTTCTTCCTCTTCCCTGGAGGTTGGGTGCCTCTCCATCCAGAACCCTGGCCTTAGATTTAGCTTTTGTTTTATTTATGCTTTGTGCTTACTTTTTCCCCATTTATGTGCAGATCTTACTCTAAATCTGTGAATTTCAGATTATTTTAAAATAGCCTTAGTTAATCCACTCTGTATTTTCATAAATTCATAAATTTCATAGCAATCTAAAGTATGCTGAAATAACATATTAGTCTGAGGCTCTTGTATTACTAGACTTCAGTTTATTCACAGAGCTGTTTCATATCCCTTGATACCATTCAGTATCAAATTGGGTTTATCTTGCCTTTTCCCCTGGACATGTCCAGTATTTTTAGGAACGTTTCCCAGAAGCTGGATGCCGTAGTCTATGGTAATAAAATTTTATTATTTTTTCTGGCACAGATTTGGCATATTTCTAGCAATACACCTTCTAAATAATTCACTGGCATAATTCAGCAACTTCCAGGGAATGTTTCCTTTCGGTATTCCAGATGAGACCGTACCATTTGGGCATTTTTGATCTACACTGTCTTCTGTCCCCCACATTCCTTGTATCATTTCACACCATGCAGGATGTGCTTTAGCAGCTTGGTATTTATAGTCCACTGCAAAGCGGTCACTTTCACAAAGACAGGTATGTCAAGAGCTGTAGACCATGGAAGGACATGGGAAGATAGGTCCTTTGTATTCCTGAGAAGCTAGGCCAGGATCAAGGCTATTCAGCTCTGTCTAATTCCCCCTGTTTACTGGGCAGTTTCCAGACGAGTGGAAGTGGTGGAGTTTCAGAGCATGCATAAACATACTAAAGAAACTCAGGATGGCTTATGTTAGGGTTCAGGGTCAGGGCTGTACACCCATCACAGCTCAGCATAAGTATCTGCACTGAGCTGTGCTGAACTGAATCTTCAGAGGGAGGTACTGTGGAGTCTCCCAAATGATGAGCAAGACCTGGAAATCAAAAGACTGCACTTTAGGAGTCTCTTCTCCCACTCCAGGTTACCACCTTCCAGTGAGATCACATCAGCAATGGATGGAGGAACTGTTGTTGCCATCATTGCTAGTACCATCAGACCCAGTGGTGAATTCCAGGCCAGGGGCTCCTCTGATCAATGAAAGCTGGGTCTTCAGAAGTGAGAGTCTGAGAGCTCTTCTGCTTATTGCCTCCCACAGCAACGGCAGCAGACAGAAGCACCAGCTGCTGAAAGATACCTCCTTAGCTGCCAGCTAGACCACACTGCAGGGTCCTGCCACCACATCTCACCTGGTGCAGTTAAAGTAAACACAACGAGGCATACTTGTTTACCAAACAAGAATGACCCTGGCAAGCATTTTTATGTGTCTATGTGTGTGCACACATACTAAATGATCCAGTCCTCCTCTGCTCTGCCCCCTCCCAAAAGAGGACATGGTAGCACTCTTGGAAAGTGACACTGGATACTCCATCCATAGCACAAGATCCTTCTTTTGCATGCATTTCTGAATGCACAGAGCTGACAGGTAAAAAAAAAAAAAATTATCTATCATCTGATTTATATGGCACATGGAGATGTGTCCAGTGCAGCAGTTTTCTCTCACTGTGACCCCTTTTTGCTGTTCAAGCCATTTTTCTTAGCACAGGCTCAAGGCTACTACATACAAAACCAGCAGCTTTTTCAGCCTTCCTCTCCTCACCCCAAAGCTGCTTCCCACATCTTCAACATCTGCCCCCCACATCCCCAACATCTGCCCCATCTTCCAGACAGCCCTTATCCATGCCTGGTGAGGCCTGTGACTGCCCAGCATGCCAGCAAGGGAGGGTCCATGTCTGACCCGGTATTGTAGAGCAATGTGGTCACCATATAGCTCCTCAGCTAGGGCAGGGCCTGGATGCATGAGACGTAGACACACACATCCCAGGAGGGACTTCTTCCAGTAAGTGCAATTGAGGCTTTCCTTGGATCCTAGTCTTCCTCTACTGAACATGTTCATGGTAGCCACCCTGGCACCCCACAACTTGGGTGAGGTGTGTTGGCATATTTTTGCAGTCTCACGGGTAAGGCAACAACACGAATAGCTTACAGAGATTGGAGCAACCCAGCCACAGCTGGGTTAGCGCACCCCACCATATCACTCACTTCTGGATCCAGATGGGCGGCAGCATGGCAGGTGCTGCCTACCCTCTGTGAATCTGCGTGATGCTGAGCAACAACCGTGTGCTGTGTGACAGCTTCAGGTGGGCTGAATGATGTAAAATGCAGCTAATAATGCATACTTAGGTTTTACATACTTAGAAGTTAATGCATACTTAGGTTTTTCTGAAAACCACGTTCCGCTTTGCAGCCATCCTCTAGCAGCACCAGTTAGATGCTTGAGTCACTGACCATACAAAACAGGCTCAGCACATGAGCACAGGGAGCCTCTCACGGCTCCAGTCATCCTTTCTCTACTCCCTTTGCCCATGCCTCTCTTCCTACAGTCTTGGCAGCAGCCTATACGCAAGAGGCACATGTCAATCAAAAAGCATGGCCCAGTATAGTTCTTGGACCATCCCAGTCCTTACGCTGACCTTATTAGGGTCAGTGCTGCTGCAAGTTTCTGGGGGATGTGATACAACTGGGCCTTTGCCATCAGGTATCGCGAGTGTAAGAGGACCAGGCTTAGCGTGCAACAGCTGATGGGCATAATCATGCTACAAGTATTCCATCCAAAATTGTTCATTCTTCACTATTGAGGTTTTATCATTTGTAATTTGACTTTTATATTATTTTTACGCCATTTTCCTTTATTTTCTCATCTAAATTAGCATATATTTTGTTTGAATATTTTTTAATGAAATAAAATGAAATTAAAATGTCAAATATTTATTTAAAGTTTATAGTAAAATAATTTTTAAGGAAGTATAAAAATGAAAATGAGTAAAGTGAGTCACCTCAAAATGAACATCCACTGGAATTAAACTTTCTATTTCACCAGCCAAATAAGTTACTGTTTTTCAAATTCGAGAAGGATATCTGCTAATTGTTTCTATTGACTGTTATTTTATCATTATGTTGTGGGAAAGTGGCACCAAAAATTCAATTTAAATTCTTCCAATTTTATTCTAAACCTTACACTATCCCTTGGAAAAGTATGTAATTTTTTTATTTTAAAAGTGCTTTGAATTTCAAAATTGATCTCTGATCTGCCCCCTTTTTTTAATGTTTCTAATGAATCTGTAAAGGTACTTTCTCAACACTGTTCTCCCCATTTCCTTGGAAATATAAAGCTGCCAATGCATTAAGGTCCAATAGTTATGTCTCGATGCATTCTGCACTGAACCCACTTCCAGATCCATTCTATACACATTTGCCTATTTGTCTTATTTTCATAGACAATTCATCAGGCCCACTCCCAGACATCCAAAACCTGTGATAGGTCACCATGTAACAAGTTTGGATGGTTTAGTTAAGTAAGTAAGTCGTGCATTCAGGCAAAACCTTAAGTTATAAAAGACTTCATCTGGATTTACATGACTCTAAACACCTGCCACAACAAACCTGTGTTCTTGTCTCCTATGTTCATCTAATAAATATCAGTGTGCATGGTAAAGCTAATCAAACTGAAATGTATCCTGAACATGGCAGATGAAAAACCCTGCAAAAAATTGCCCTTTTGCCTCTCCCTTATTGCTTCTTTCTCTTTATGTCTGTCACTACTGCAAATTCTTCCTTCTCCACCGGCCACATGGATAGTACCAGGCTGCTCCCCGGGGGCTGAGGGATGCTCCCCCCAGAGCAGGCAGGGAGCAGGGCAGGCCATAGGGGCAGACGGGGGCAGCGCCAGCCCAGGGCATCAGGCACCTCCATGGGTGCAGAAACTCACGCAGTTTCAGGCAGGCTGGTTGGGCTATAAATGTTCCTCTCCGCTCTGAGGATGAAAAGCAATTTTCATGAATTTTCTGCATGAAGCAGCAGATTTAAAAGCTTTGTGTGCTCCTGTCCTACAGAGTTACAGCCAATTCCCTTAGTTAGAGCAGGTGTGCTGGGCCAGTTATTTTCAGGATCGGGTCAAAGAATGGACTAGCACTACACATATTCACCAGAAGCCGCTTGCCTCCAGTTTGCTGCCCAGCATCAGAAACCTGACAGATAAAATGGGGCAGGTACCTTCTTACCTATCTTTATCACTAAGTTTTGAAGCAGCTAAATACACTCATTAAATCTGTATGAGAATTTGAATGTGCTTCATTGTAGTATCAGTTAGGAAATGGGACTTGCTTGGACTTTATATAATGTATTTTTAAACCGGTTTTAGATTTATGTTCTCAATACTACTCATTATGTTTTACAGCAGGGAGGGAGCAATAGCTGGAATTAAAGTCTTTTGATCTTGGCCAAACAAACGGAAATTCCCATGGAATGGCCTGAAGGATGGAGCAGCCTGACCACACAAACACAAAGATGCACAAAGAAAACACAAAGATAAGAAAGAAAAACTCCTGGATTTTTTTTTTTCTTTTAGAAAAGATTCATTTGGTTTTGCTCCTATATTTCTCCAAAGAATCATTCATTTTCGTCCTTGATTATTTTTAACACATTTCACTGCCTTTAAATAAACCAAAATATTCTAGAATGTCTTCCATTAACACCGGAAGCAAATAAAAAGACTCATTTTATTTTCTTGATTTAATTGAAATATGGCAGGGGTGAATTTTGTTTATTTAAAAGAATTAATCACATGAATATTTTTAAGTTTTGGCCCAGTTGTAAATTAAAAGCAGAAGGACTTGAAGGCATTATTTTAATGAAACTAAGCTTTTATTTCTATTTTTTTAAATCCCTGCCACTCTTCCAATTAAATTAAGAAGTACTGATTGACACGGAACATTTCTCATACTTAAAAATATCCAAGTTAGACAATATTAAAATATTTTCTTGGATGAGTAGCTAGGAGATATGAAGGACAGACCAAACGTTTCTTTCGCAGATGGGAAGAAATGGGTCAACTGTTTTGTTTTACTTGACAATTTAAATATGACTTGTAAACAGCCCAGCAGGAACACTAAGACTTGACTTCCTTGTACTAGAAAAGGTCTATTTTTTTTATCGGGAAGTGCAACATTGCCATGTATTCTCTGACGTTGTGCAGCACCCCTTTCGTTTGGTGCACGCAGGCTCTTGCACAGGGAAGCTGGCGAAGGGGCTGGGAGCGCAGTTATCCTCTGTGGCCCGGGGCACAGGAAGCAGCGTCTCCCTCACCCTGCTCCTGGCTGCAGGCTTCCTCCTCTGCATCCGCCTTCTGCCAGCTCTAGCGCTCATCAGCCTCGTGTGATGCCGATTCGGTTACCTGAACTGGGAGAAAACAAACCTAACAGCGAACCGAACACTTTCCTGGTGGGCTGGTGAGTTGAAGCAGTCTGGGAGAGGGGCCAGAGCCCAAGCAAGGCAAGGAGGGAAAGCCTGTGGCTGGGAGAATGGACATGGGATGCAAGGGCAGGAGGAGGCAGAGGAAGCAGGATCTCCGCCTCTTAAATCGTTTCAACTATCTTGTGTAACTTCACCCTGGAACACAGAACACTGGCTGCGTGGCAGCAGCATTTCTTCATGTTTGTTAAACAAATGAGTTATCCTCAGACTTCTTTGTCATTGAAAGGTACATGTATAAATCAAATATTCTTTAATAGGTCATTTGTAGTTGACACAAGTGCTTATCTTGTGAATGACAAAGTGAGACCTGGTTCACGACTAGGACTCCTAAGAGTTACAATGTAAATAATAAAAATTGCTGGGCACGGTGGATTTCTTTTACCTCACTGCCAAATATACAGCTTGCAGAATCAGGAGTGGCTCAGAAATTATGATGAGCAAATTAGAAATATTCCTTCCTTTTGCTAGATGAAGCTATTTGATCATCTTTGAAGGATCAAGCCCTTTATGCTGGTTTGAGAGCAAACCAATCTCTTGGTACTGCTGGAAAAGATTGCACAGTTTCAAATGAATCTGGAAATTGCTTCAATTGGTAAAAGAAAACAAAACGGATAACTAAGCTCTTAGACCTGATGTTTTCTGTTCATACATCGTCTTCAGTCTCATTTGTGAAAGATGATTTTGATCCATGTTCCTCATTTGTTTTCAGAAGAACTGAAGAGACTTGAAAGTAAGCATGTAAAATTGCAAAAATACAGTCTTAACTACCCTCAATCTCTCTTAAATTGTCTGTTTGTTCCAAATTCTGAAACTTGTATTATTTTAGCCCAAATAAACTATGATTGTTTCTAGTGCCCTGTTTCATTACCTTACACTTCTCCATCACATGAATATTTTTAAGTTTTGGCCCAGTTGTAAATTAAAAGCAGAAGGACTTGAAGGCATTATTTTAATGAAACTAAGCTTTTATTTCTATTTTTTTAAATCCCTGCCACTCTTCCAATTAAATTAAGAAGTACTGATTGACACGGAACATTTCTCATACTTAAAAATATCCAAGTTAAACAATATTAAAATATTTTCTTGGATGAGTAGCTAGGAGATATGAAGGACAGACCAAACGTTTCTTTCGCAGATGGGAAGAAATGGGTCAACTGTTTTGTTTTACTTGACAATTTAAATATGACTTGTAAACAGCCCAGCAGGAACACTAAGACTTGACTTCCTTGTACTAGAAAAGGTCTATTTTTTTTATCGGGAAGTGCAACATTGCCATGTATTCTCTGACGTTGTGCAGCACCCCTTTCGTTTGGTGCACGCAGGCTCTTGCACAGGGAAGCTGACGAAGGGGCTGGGAGCGCAGTTATCCTCTGTGGCCCGGGGCACAGGAAGCAGCGTCTCCCTCACCCTGCTCCTGGCTGCAGGCTTCCTCCTCTGCATCCGCCTTCTGCCAGCTCTAGCGCTCATCAGCCTCGTGTGATGCCGATTCGGTTACCTGAACTGGGAGAAAACAAACCTAACAGCGAACCGAACACTTTCCTGGTGGGCTGGTGAGTTGAAGCAGTCTGGGAGAGGGGCCAGAGC